CTATGAAGGGTGTGATGAGGTTCGGGAAGAAGGGCAAGTTGAGCCCTAGGTATATTGGGCCTTTTGAGATTCTTAAGAGAGTTGGAGAGGTGACTTACAAACTTGTACTACCACCTACTCTCTCTGCGGTTCATCCGGTATTCCATGTGTTCCATGCTTCGAAAATATCACGGCAATCCATCTCATGTGTTAGACTTCAGTTCGGTTCAGTTGGACAAGGATCTATCTTACGTTGAGGAACTAGTGGCTATTTTAGATAGGCAGGTTCGAAAGCTAAGGTCAAAGAACATTGCTTTCGTGAAGGTTCAGTGGAGGGGTCATCCGGTCGAGGAGGCAACTTGGGAGACCGAGCATGATATGCGCAGCTGTTATCCACACTTATTCACCAGCTCAGGTACGTTTTCTAACTCCGTTCGAGGACGAACGTTTATTTTAGAGGTGGAGAATGTGATGACCCAAAATGTCATCTTTAAATTTAATAATTAATTATGTGTTCTAAGACCCTGAAAAGCACTATTTATCATTCCTCGACTTGCGTGCGCAGCCCGTAAAATTTTTCGAAAAGTTTTTATGTGAAAAATGGATTAAAAATGTGAATTAGAGCTTTAAAACTCAACTGAGTTGACTTTGTTCAACATTTTGAGCAAACTGACTCGGATTAGTGTTTTGACAGTTTCGATAGGTCCGTATCATGATTTCGGACTTGGGCATATTCCCGGAATTAAACTCCAAGGTCCCTAGCCCGAGATATGGAATTTTGCTGAAAAATTAAAAGTTTAAGTTCAAATATCAATCGAATGTCGAATTTTGTGCAAACAAACCCCGAAATAAATTTTGATGACTCCAACAGCTCTGTATGGTAATTTTGGACTTAGGAACGTGATCAGAATTTTATTTGAAAGTCCGTAGTGAAATTAGGCTTGAAATGGCTAAAATAGGAATTTAAGTTTGGAAGTTTTACCGGGGAGTTGACTTTTTGATATCGGGGTCGGAATCTAGTTCTAAAAATATTTACAGCTCCGTTATGTCATTTATGACTTGTGTGCAAAATTTGAGGTCAATCGGACTTGATTTGATAGGTTTCGACATCGAATGTAGAAGTTGGAAATTCTTGAGTTTCATTAAGCTTGAATTGGGGTGTGATTTGTGATTTTAGCGTTGTTTGACTTGATTTGAGGTTTCAAATAAGTTCGTATGATGTTTTAGGACTTGTTGGTGTATTGGGTTGAGGTCCCGAGGGCCTCGGGTGAGTTTCAGATGGTTAACGGATCAAAAGTGGGACTTAGCTGCTGCAAAAGCTGCTGCAATTTTTCTGCTGGAAATGCTGTCAAAATCGGGCTGCCAGTCAAAATCGGGTTGCTTGTCAAAATCGAGCTGCCTGTCATAATCGGACTCCCTGTCAAATCGAGCTCTTTGACAAATCGATCTGCCTGACAAAATCGAGCTCCCTGACAAAATCGAGCTCCCTGACCAATCGAGCTCCTTGACAAATCAAGCTCCCTGACAAAATCGAGCTCCCTGACAAATCGGGCTCCCTGGCAAATCGGGCTCCCTGACAAATAGGGCTCCTTGGAAAATCGGGCTCCCTGACAAATCGAGCTCCCTGATAAAATCGAGCTCCTTGACTAATCGAACTTCCTGACAAATCGAGCTCCGGGACAAAATCGAGTTCCCTGACAAATCAGGCTCCCTTACAGATCTGTAAGTTATAAAAACAGGGGATTTCGTCCCATTTGCCATTTTTGAAGAATTGGAGCTTGAGGAGAGGCGATTTTGATATATTTTCAAGGAAAAATATTGGGGCAAGTGATTCTAACTCGTATTTGGACAATATACACGAATATATCATTGTTTTCACCATTTAATTAGTGTTTTGAGATAGAAATTTGGGAAAATTTTAGAAATCTCGTAGAAATAAATTTTTGAGATTTCGGTGTCGATCCGGAGTCGGATTTGAGTAAAACTGGTATGGTTGCACTCATAATTGAATGGGTTGTCGGATTTTATGAGTTTCGCCAGATTCCGAGACGTGGGCCCCACAGGCAATGTTTGAGCTAATTTCGGATTTTATTGAAAAATATAGTATTTTCTTATGAAATTGATTTCTATAAATTTGTTGACTGTATCGAATTAATTATGACTAGATACGAGTCGATCGGAGTCGAAAAATCGAGGAAAAAGCATAATACTTGGTTAAATTGGAGCAAGTCGAGGTAAGTGACTTGTCTAACCTTGTGTGAGTGAAATTCCCCCTAAGATTGATAATTGTAATGTGTGGAACGTCGTGTATACGAGGTGACGAGTGTGTACACGGGCTAAATGTGAAAGATCATGTTTTAAATTGTGTAGATCACTGTTGCGCATTAATTAAATTATTTTATTTTGTTATATTCTTCATTATTGATTTAATGTTTATATTTTAAATTTGCTTGACCTTTTCCTGCTAATTGTTTTATCTGTTTAGTTGGAACTTGGTTTCTTTTATTCTGTGCATTATTTGAAGGTTGATTTTCTTTAAATTAAATATTATTAATATGAAGTATTTGACATTTTTAAACTTGATATTGAAGAAACGTATTAAAGATTTTTAAATTTATTTTCCTGAATTAGTTACTCCTGAATATTTTTGTAAGATTTTCGTACTCATTGTGATGGAGGAGTGAGCTCTTTATTGTAGAAAAATATTATTGTTGAATTATTTTGACATGAGCTATGAGCTCTTTTATTGTGGAAAAATATTATTGTTGAATTATTTTGACATGAGCCGTGAGCTCTTTATTGTGAAAAAATATTATTGTTGAATTATTTTGGCAAGTTAAATTATTTGAGCACCTGAGGTGCAAATTGTGATATTGATACGCATGCGGTGGTATAAGTTTTGGGTATTGAAACGCATGCGATGAGATAAGGGTGGCTTGATACGCGTGGCTAGTAGGGGGAACTACTAGAAGTCATGCGGTGTGATAAGGATGGCTAAAACGCGGGATGCTATTTCGGAAAAAATATTTTCTTTCAAATAAATTGTAAAGGCTTCCGCGGTGAGATAAGGAAATGAGATATTGTGAATTTGTTTATGATTTGGGACTACAAGGCGGTATCTCGGGAGTGCCTTTGTTGATATTAATTTATGACCGCAGTTGCCTTTGATTATTGTTGTGATTTTTTTTAAGTTGAAAAGAATTCTGTTTTGTTTCCACGAGATATTTATTTGCCATTATTTTGTGTAATTAAATGTGACATGCTATTTGATTCATTTCTATTGTTATTTTATCTTATAAGATTGTTTAAATATTTTACCATGCCATTACTTATTCTCCAATAGGGCCTGACCTGATCTCGTCACTACTCTACCGAGGTTAGGCTTGACACTTATTGGGTACCGCTGTGGTGTACTCATACTATGCTTCTGTACATGTTTTTGTGCAAATCTAGGTACATCTTATCAGACCAGGCATTAGTAAACTAGTTGTACGAGGAGACTTCAAGGTATATCTGCCAGCGTCCGCAGACTCTGGAGTCCCCTTCTATCTCACTATGTTGTCTTCCTTATTTGCTTTAGACTCTGATGTATAGAGACATAGAGAATAAATTTTTAGAAGCTTATAACTTATTTCTACTGGGTTTTGGGAGTTGAAATTATTTGAATTGTAGTTTATTTATTTCAGATATTTAATATTATTCCGCATTGATAGGCTTACCTAGTTTTAGAGACTAGGTGTCATCACGACATCCTATGAAGGAAATTTGGGGTCGTGACAGCTGTAGTAGTACTTCTAATGAAAACATGCATGCATGTTACACAATTTCTGTAGATGGTTTCTCACAACACCAACATTTAGAAGCGGTAGCAATGCCAACTATGGCCAGAGCATCATCTGTTGGCACCTTATTCCTCCATATATAATATCTACGCTAGGAAATTCTACCCCATTTGCCCTAGTAAGACGCCTATAAATGGGTTGTATTTCATCATGCAAATAAAGTAAATCCCTTGCAGTTAATGATACATGTTGATGTCCTTACTGGGTACTCTGTATGTGCATCATCATGTTGTAATTAATGGCGCATGCGTATATTATCATCCATTAATTTTATCTACATCCATTGGTATCACACCTTTGAAACTGTTGTACAAGGTATAATGCAGCACCCTTGAAATTTGAAAGGGAACCTATAGTTATATATCTAGCCAAAACCTGCTACAACCATCATTTATTTACCACCAGATTCTATATATCTTCCACCATATCTCTAACTTGCAACATCAATCTTCATATTTGTGTCTACCCAAATTTAATTCCTCTTTGAGATGTCATTCAGATTACACCTCTTACTTCATTGGGTTTGCATAAAGAGTCCTTTATATATATGGTGATTGTCTCCATCTTCACAGCAGAATATCTATCTAGTGATTGAATAATTAATGCCCTTCAACTACAAATAACATATTTAAAGGGACCTAGGTTGTATAATCAAACACCAGTCTGCCTAGCCTCCTACTGATGATATATGTTTCCATGTATAAATCCAACTCCTCACCTTCTTGAGCATATTAGTAACATAGATATTTCTTCTCTTGCCATAGTAGATGGGGCAACCCAAGTAAGGAAAAACCAATTAAGATCTCGGAGAAGCTGAACTTCCTTAGAATTTTTGTAAGGAAAAGCCAAGAAAACATATCATATGGTTTGGCTATATCCACTTTAATCACCACATTAGCTAGCTTGTTCATTTTTCTAATTCCCATTACCACTCCCTGGGCCGATAAGCTGTTTTCATTAATAGATTTGTCTTTTACAAATTCAGCTTGCTGTAGCAATATGAGTTGAGGTAGCATGCATCCTTGTCAATCTAGTAGCAATAATATTTGAAAACGCTTATATAATAAGTAGCACAAGCTGATTGGTTTAAGATCCGCTAATTTATTGGGCCTTTAGAATAGTTCTTTTATGGCTTTAAGTTACGTACTCTCTGAACAATTCACAAATTGTCTTTATTTTTGTTGGTGTGTAATGTAGTGTGCTTGGTCTTGGGTGGGCAAGGGCTGTCTACGTGCCGTGGAGGATCAAGGGAAATGTTGTAAGTTTGATAAGCTAACACTTACACTTTTCTTTCATATATATTATCTATGATCTTACATTCTTTTTGTTTGTATGATTTTGCTCTCTTAAAAGGTGCATGTTGGGCTTTTATCGGAGCGGAAGCCATCACAGCTTTATACTACATTAAGTTGCAGAAGGTGAACCCTCTGTCAAAGCAACAAGTCATTAATTGCTTGTATACCAAACTAGAGGAGCCAAAAGATATTAAATATTGTGAGACAACAAAATGCTTTCCTAGTCACTACAATAAATACTACAAATTTGCTATCGAGGAAGGTATCTATTCGGATAAGTCATATCCCTATGTTGAAAAGAGGAATGAATGTCATAATCAACCAAGTGAGGTAAGTATATGATATTGGGTTTATTATTTTCTTTTCGGCGTCAACATTATTGCAAGATATTTGCATTAAAGAGAAATATCTTAGTAAATGAGATGTGTTTGCATTATATGTTTGAATTGGTGCAGGAAAAAACAAAAATTAAGGAGTTTAAGAGGGTTGAAGATCTTAAGTTGGACAAAGGAGAAATTGAAAATTTAATTCGGCAACAACCCATCAGTGGATGTGTAAAGAATGTGAGGAGCTTTAAAAAACATACTGGAAAGGTAAAATTTCTTTTCACTCAGCTTTTTGTTTACTCCCAGCTTTCTTTATTGGAATTTCTCTTTTGGCCGCCTACATATTTCTAAATTTCTTTTATTTTCATAGGATATTTATAAAGGTCCAACCAAACTGGAGATTCACTTTGAAAACGAACTTAAAAGAAAAAATGAGCCGACTGAAGGGCGTCATGCGGTGCTGATTGTGGGCTTTGGCACTGAAAATGGAATTGAATACTATCTAATTAAAAATAGTTGGGGCGTGAACTGGGGTTACTGGGGATATGCTCGGGTTGAGAGGAGTGTTGTTACGAGCTTGTCGTTTCGGGAGCTTTGATGTGTAGATAGGCTTTGATTTATGGCTGGGTTAACTATCTTTTTACTGTTGTTTTGTGCTACTGTTGCAGTTTTTTGTAGATAACTTTGGTTCCTGGCTGGGATAGCTATTTCTTTACAGTTGTTTTGCGCTACTGCTGCAGTTATTTTGTTAAAAATTAAGACTGCTAGATGAATTTGTTGTCTATACGTGTCGTGTGTTTGTCTGAATTACAATCATATGAAACTGTGTAGCAACATCAATGGGGACAACCAAAATCCTCGATTCTTAACTGAAACGATATGCATGTTTATGGTCATGCCAATCGCTGATTATGTCAGCTATGATGTTTGTAAGACCTTCCTAATTGAACAATTTTGGCTCCATCATTTGTATACGGACACTGTCTGTGTTATTATGTTTTTCAAATTCCTGCAACTCTGCACCATAATTTCAGGTTTTCTATGGGCTCTTTTGCCTTGATGTATACGTGTTGGACGAATATGACATATGTATAGGTAACTGTCTTTCGTGTAGATGCTCTTCAAAATACACTAAAAACATTAGCCGCTTTCTTTCAAAATGTGAAGCATTAGCTACAAGACCAAAGCTTTGTGGACAGCAATGTACATGTTGATGTTACTTTATACAGAACCATCTCAGAATTTAAAGGTTGTACAGAGGCTGCATATCATGACCAACAAACTGAGTTAAAAGTAATTAGAGACAGAGACCATTATATAGTTCACAAGCAAAATCATCTATTCAACCAGAAAAACAAAACTTAGCAACATCGCTGAAGTTAATGAGGTTAGAGCATTTTCTTTAACTGGAGGATGCACTTAAGCAAGAAGCAAAAATAATCTGCAATAAGACCAACAGAGCCGATAATTTCATGAACAAGTACTAGCATATTAATAGAAGAAGAGTCTGGCACTAATTAAGGAGGTGGTGCTCGGACGTTACAAAGTTAGGGATCCTTCTAAACAAAAACAAAAAGAAAAGATTCCTTCTGCAAAATTCCTTATCCCTGTAGTGACTCTAAGAAATCTACCAAAGCGATTTTCGTCTTTTACATCCTGTAGATTACGCCAAAAACCATAGCACAAGACTTTTCTATTTCTAACCAAAAAAACTAATTATACCCGGTTCAAGCAAAACCCTTGGAAAAGAATCATGACAAAAAGAAAAACTAAGGGAGGATTGTTACACTATTTAAGAAAATAAAACAAAATTGAAAGATTTTTTTTTTTTTCAAGATTTCTGATTTCTTAGTATTTTTGTTTCGACCGTAATCCCGCAAGAACACGGCCGAGGAGATCCATCATCCGGAAAAATCAATTTTTTTTTATTAAACAATAATAACGAAAACACAAACAAAGATAAAAAGAAGAAAAGGAGATATACATATACATATTTACATCCCCCACCCCATATTTTAAATTGTGGCATGTCCCCATGATACAAATAAAAAGCAAGAGGTAAAGAAAACTCTCCTGAATCATCTAGTATGGGTGTAAATCAATGTGGGGGTCCATTTTGCACGCCCGACCCAATGCACATTTCTAGACTTACATTTTCTTTTATGCCTTAGTCTTACCCTCTCCAGCTCGCTCTTGTAAGGCCTTTGCCTTGAATTCAGAGTGCATAGACGACTCATCTCTAGGTGCCCCTATTGCTTCCTTCATCTTGAACACCACTCTTTCTTCCCCCACTCTTAGCATGAGCTGCCTTTCCTGAATATCCAGAATAGCTCTGCCAATAGCCAAGAAAGGTCTCCCTAAAATCAGAGGGACCTCCTTATTCTCTTCCATGTTCACCACGATGAAGTCCACAGTGAACACAAATTTGACCGCCCGAACTAGTACGTATTCCACTATTCATTCAGGTATTATTATGGTTTGATCCACCAGCTACAAAGACACAGGTACAGATCTGATTGCTCAAATTTCTTTTTCAAGTTTTCTGAAAATAGACAAGGGCATAAGATTAATAGAAGCACCTGAATCACACAAAGATTTTTCAAAGTTAGTACTTCCTAAAGAGCAAGGTATAGCGAAACTCCCTGGATCTCCACACTTTTGAGGGAGCTTATTTTGTAGAATCGCACTACAATGCTCTGTGAGCTTGACTACCGATGTCTCTTCCACTTTTTGCTTGTTGGACAATATCTCCTTCAAGAACTTGGCATATGCTAGCATCTGTGAAAACACCTTTGTGAAAGGTAGACTAACATGCACCTGCTCTTGAGTACTTCTAGAAAACGCCCAAATTGTTTGTCTAGTTTCTCTCTTCTTTGCTTATGGGGGAAAGGTAGAGCAGGCATATATTTCTTTCCTCAGTCTCCTCATTCTCATTCTTCCTCTTTTTCAGAGCTCTAGTCCTCGCCTTCTTTTTCAGACCATCATATGGATCTACCCTCACTTCACCTTCTTAATTGTCGTTATTTTTCTGCTCTTCCACAATCTCCACTTGTCTTTCAATCAACTCACCCTTTTGTTTTGCAATGGGGTCCTTCAATACTTGCCCACTTCTCAAAGACATTGCATTTACTAATCCTTTTGGATTCCTTTCGGTATCAGCAAGGAGAGTTCTTGGAGCCCACTTATATAATAGATTAGAAAATTGTCCCACATGTCTTTCCAAGTTTTGGATGGCTGTTCCCTATTCCCGGATAGCTGTGCCATGAGCTTCAAGTCTCTCATTTGTCTTAATAATAAAGACATTCATTAGGTCTTCCATGCTAGACTGATTGGTCTGTTGAGGCTGGTACTTCTGCCTCTACTGATTCATAAACCTGAAGTTCCTTGTCCTTGTGGTCTGGGATTATTCGGTTGCGATGCATTCACACTACCACCATGTGAACTCCACAAATATCCGGGGTGCCTCTGCCTATAGAGTTGAAGTTATTACTACTTTGGTAGTTTCCTCAGTCAAAGCTTCCCATAGCATTTACCACTTCATCTGTAGCTGAAGCCTGACACTCATGTGTTGGATGACCTATTTCACAAAAGTCACGAACTGATGATGGCTAGCTCTAGACCCTAGCTAAGACTAACTTTACGATCTCGTTTGCCATGAAGTCTAGCTGAGCTTGCACTGACATGTTAGAGTCTACCTGGTAAACCCCAACTGATTTCTTCGGTCATTACTTTCAGCGGGACATTGGTTAGCATCCTCCAACAATTCATCAAGGATAGAGACCCGAGGTTTTCTTCATTAATGGACCTCTAACTTCATTACTCAGAGTTCGTCACGAGGATGGTGTCAGTCCACCCCAAAAGTCCTGGAGTTGCATCCATAATTCGATTCAATTATATCGACACCTTATTACTATCTCTTTGAATCTTTCCTAAGCTTTGAAGACCATTTCGGTGTCTTTTTAAATTTCACTATTTTTGCAGATGAGAAGTACTTGTCAAGAAACTTTTTCGTCATATCTTCCCATGTCCTAATCAACCCAGTTGGTAAGATTCGAAGGAGTGCTTCGTGTCATCCTTCAGTGAAAAGGAGAATGCCCTTAAGTAGACTGCATCTTTTGACACTCTATTGTATTGTAAGGTGTTCATAATTTCCTCAAAGTCCATCAATTGAGCGTTAGGATCTTCATTCACCTTCCCGCTAAAGACACAGTTGTTTTTTATGGTTCAAAGTAAGCCTTGCTTCAACTCAAAATTGTTTGCTGTTATGGGTGGATGTCTGACACTTGACAGTACCTGATTGTAGACTAGTCTGGCATAGTCACCCAATGATCTACCTGCTCTGGGACTCGATTTAGATTGAATCTTCGACCCCCATCCACATGAACAGTCTCATCAGCAACTGTAAGGGATACTTCAGCGCTAACCGTATAGCTTGCTCTCTATGTTGTGCTGCCTCTCTTGCAGCTAAGTCTACCCCATAATCTTTGTTGTTTGCCATTTTATCTTGAGTCGAAGTCTGACCCAAGAAGGATCCACTTGCGTCTTTCTCCTTTCTCAACTATCGCAGGTGTTTGTCCAATTTTGGGTTGTATGGCACTAATTCCTTGGAAGAGGACCATGTTATACACCACCTAACTTAACCTCCTGCCTGCACAATGTGAAAAAAAAATAAAATAATATTGGTTCATGAATTAGCACCAAAAATTATTTTGAGCACTATTGATTGCCAATCCCCGGCAACGGCGCCAAAATTTGCCGAGTGCAAAACACAACAAGAAATTTATGCTTGTTAGCAAAAGATAGTATAGTTTAATTATCGTCTCCACATGGATTAGAGTTAAATAATGTTCAAGTAGTTTTTGGTTTAACATTATTCAGGATGCTTAAACTTTGATTGGAATGATTATGAACTAAAATTAACTATTAGAACTAAAGCAATTAACAATTGATCACGGAGAACAAGAACTGAGTAACACAGAAATATTAGTGGGAGAAATAAGGGCTGTGACGGGATGGGTGCAAGATAGTTATTCAGGATCTAACTCTAGTTTAATTCACTCAAATGTTCTAATGATTGTCACGAATTCACTCGATGATTAGATCAATCGTATAGCCATGACTCCTCTTTCGATTAAATCTGAACTCTACGAGGTAAACTAATATAAAACATTGTGAAGGTGTGCAAGAATACGTTAATAGACTAGTCTTTAGAAAGAGGATGGTCCGAGGACAGCATTTCATATCCTGTGAATCCCTTATCATACGTTTCATGGCCCAGGACATCATGGTCTAATAACATCATCCTTATCATCCAAAGACAACTTTCATGGTCCGAAGGAAATTTGCATCATGTTTTAATTTTCGCAATAACCCTATATATTCGCGTGCATCGTGTCTTAAAGTTTTGCAGGTAACTCGAGAGGTAACCATTCTACAAATGGGAGCAATTCTCACTCTGGTTTCCGTTAACAACGTTCACATCCTTTGACTATCTCAAACGTAATCAACGACCGGCAATTGATTACTCTTTGTTCCGTAACTGCCCGATCATTTATCTCGGATATCCGTAAGTATTGAAACTCACATTCATAGATCCACCCGAAACTATTCGTTACTCATGACACTATCCTACATAAAAGATCTTTTTCTAAGTACACGACCACTCTTATAAAACTTTCATCGGTTTCGTTCGCTGTTGGATCCAGAATTACACACGGCCTGATTCTCATAACACCAGGGATATGCAGGCAACTCGGGAACTAGGGTTCGACCCCAATTTTTTCAAAAACACATCATCTCACCCTTACTTCGGACAAAATTGGTCATTATTTTCTTTACCCGACAACACTTTCATCATTTACAGGTAAAGAGGGGCACCTGTTGATACCCATTTTTGCCCTCATATTTTATAAATAACATATATAATTTCAAATTATCATTGTTTGCATCATCACCAATTTA